CAAATGCTTCGTAAACGCATTTGACTTATTGTACGCCTGGATCGTCTCTGTTGCAAAGTCCACCTTGGATTCCTCGGATGAACGCTCCAGCACTTTAATTTTTTTCTTCAACTCATCCTTCTTAGTCTCAGACTCCGAGCGAACACGGTCCAGCTCATCAATAATGGTCTTCCACTCTTCTTCAAAATCCTTTTCCAACTCTGGCCGAATGGTAGCTCGCTCCTCCAACCGAGCCTTCTCTATCTCTGCTGCCAGATTGTCAATCAAATGACGATTCGGCTCATCCATGCGAACAAACGCGTCATCACACTTCTTCTTGACGTTTGCAAATTGTTGCTCAACGCTTCTTACTTGGGTTTGCAACTGCATCTCCTTTGCATGATATGACCCGAGCTGCGCCATTAGCACAACCCTCTCATTTTGGGCGCGGTAGCTGGGCATGTACACGCATCAAAATTTTATGAGGAAAAAAAACTCAAAACGAATACTTGGAACTGGGCATGTGCGAGATCAGCATAAGGGTCGCTACTCTCCATTCGCACAGGAAGAGCCAAGGCATAACCGATCGCTTTCAGTGCCAACTGGGCGGAAGGCAGACTTTGAGTGGCCGCGATAGGCAACCGCACATCCCGATACTGGGTGGCAAGGGTTTCTGATACGCCACTGGGGGTGTATGTTATCAAATTCACGCAGTAAATAATGAATCAGAAGATTGATTGAACTCGAATCAATAACAACGCGTTCTTAATACGAATTTGGATACAACGAAACCAAAACCAAAGGATAATTCCACACCTGGGGAAACCTCAATGAGGATTGAAGGGACTATTCAATCGATAAACAAGCTCGGCAAGTTTGGAATTCACCAAACCCAAAATAAGTCGCAACTTGCACAAACCAAATGGTTTCGATTTTTTACAACGAAAATAGAAGGCTTTTTATAGCAAAATAAACCCTAATACAACCCTACTGGAACAAGGAACAATTAAATTGAAAGTCTACCCTAAAAAGGTTACAAAATTTGGACTCAAACCCCCTTTCTTGAAGCACAAGTAAGCTGCCAGCAAACAATCCAAAAACAGCTTTCGTACTAACTTCACGCCTTTCGTTCGAGGCCTTCCAGAATTCCAATCGTTCATCCAATTCCTTCTCTTTGTATATAAACATACCTAGTTTCATGTTATGGAAGTCTTTGGACTCGAATCAGATCCATGCTCCTCGAATTGAGCTCCAAAGTAGGCTTAACAAAACAGTTTCCAGACTTGGCCATTTTCAAGCAATTTTCAGGTTTCCATCTAGCATATTTGGACATCTGGAAAATGATCTTCTGGAATTCATCTTGGGCTATAAATCATTCCATCATGTAGATAAACTTCTTATCTTCAAAACAAGTTATCAAACTTGAATTTTCATTGAGCCAATTGAGAGAACCAAGCCTCCAAAGTAGGCTACCTTAAATTGTTCCAATACTTGACCAAATTCTCACTTTCTTTTCCTCAACTTCAATAGCTTCTTCGTCATATTATTTAAACTTGTAGATTTGGCTATTTGGGATCATATCAGTATCTTGGAACAGCCCCATGTCGGGTAGAGTCTGCTGATACGACGCAGAACTAGAGCTTCCCCTACCACCCTTGTCCACTCTCGTAGGTTTCTTTGAGACAGGTTCGGCACGCGGCTCCATTCGCACCACCTTAGCAGGCTTCGGGTTCCCTTCCGCTCTCACATTCTTCCTCTTCCCACCCCTTGTTGGAGCGAGAATGTTAGCCACAGTCATTATCGACGCCCCCAAATTATAATCCACTCTTTCAAAGCAGGGGTGTAAGAATCCGATTAATACAGAAGGAAGTAAAGTCAAAGAGCGGAAAAACACTAATCGTCAACAAAAAGTTCTGAAAGAACTGCTTCGCGCTATCCCTTCTAATAGAGATCCACACGCCCAGTTAGCAGCAAGCCATAATGATTCTCAAACCGCGGATAGGTGCCAAGTGTCGACTCATATTCTTTCACATTCCCGTTGGACCACAAAGAAAGGAATTCCACAAGCACAGCGGTAAACTCCCCGAGCGCTGTTTTGACGTAAAAGAACTTTTCAAACCAGTTATTTTCTAGTTTCGGGGAATAATAGACATACTCGAAAGGTTGATTATCGCGCCTCTTAATGGAAAGCCTATTTCCTCTCTTTGGGCCGGTCAACCACGGGACCTTTAGTTTATATATATGGCGGAACAGATCATACGACGAGTGTAAATTCCATCGTTTTCACATCCCCCGTAGCGTGCAGGTATGGAATATAATTGAGGGGGAAAATCACCCATGTGAACACTTCACCAGGCTGTTAAGCCTGCAAAAGCAATGGCTCAAGAAGAAAACTTAAAACCCGTGCGCCGGTACTCCGTGTATACACCATGCCACCCAGCGGGACAATTCCCAACGCGATTGAATTCCAAAAGCGGCGTACTGCCAATGGGGAGGCATGCCGAGACCGCGGATATACTCCAGAAACTCTTTGCGGCTCAGCACAGACACATGATCAGGCCCGCGCAAAAGCGGATTAGAAGGGACCTATCCATCCGCGAACATCTCCGCCCACTCAACAAGGTTATACTCCACCCCAACTGAGTTCAAATCGAGACGTGCAACCGCCTCGGTTACTTGCGCAGCCGCAAAGGATGCTTCCGGCTCTGACTTCAACAGTGCCAGAGAGCTATCTGTATCATTACCTTCTTCCGAGCGTCCTGATCTTCATCTACCTCGATCTCATCATAATCCTCAACCAACACATCTTTCCCAACTGAACTGAGGAGGTAAGAACAACATAATTGCGGTTCAACTCGCCACAACACGCACGAATAGTAACCTTGCCAAAAAATTGAGCGCAGCAGGCAAAAGATTACCTCCTTACTGGGGCAATTGTTGGGGGAAGTACTACTCAATCGTGCAAAGCCTAACGCTAGTACTGCGCTTACTCGTACACGTATGTGTGTACCATAATACCGCGAAAGACGGTGCTCTCTCGTTGCACCAGCTTTCCTCGGGAACCAGCGAAGTCGGCTCTGATTCAACAATCCAAAGAGTTGGAATCTGTAGGTTGTCGACAGTCGATAGATTTTTACTCATATTCTCGAAAAACCCGGATATGGCGGTTTGTTATGGACTTATGGTGCTACGCCTACCAACCTATCACTATCCAGTGCGAGATGAAGAGTGTAGTCATGAATTAAATGGACGGATGATGCTCATCGGCCCGATTCATGTAAAGCCCATTTAACTCAACAACCCAATTTAATCACTAGAATTTTTTTTATAGATTTTATTCACTTGATTTTGTTGATAAATTAAAAGAACACAAGTCGTTGACAAGTCAACAACACATACTAACACCGAAATTAAAAGGGTTAATAGCATTTTGTACCACTCTATTATGGTAAATTAACGGGTAAAATAACTCGGGTACCACTTAAGTTTGAGAATTGGGTAGACATACCACTTAAGTTTAAATAGGGCGTCGAGAACCCTTAAAGTCCCCAAAATGTGCATCCGTCTAGTTTTCCATCCAATCCAAAATTTTAATTACTTTTTGGTACCCAAAACTTTTAAAAACATCCAAACTATATATCACAAAGTTTTTATCTAATATAGAAATTAAAAAACCTTCTTAACATAACATTTCTAAAGTGACTAATCAAAATTGTAATAAAATAGCTAAATTAGTATAAATAATAAACAAATATCAAGAAAAAGTAAATATATAGAATATAATAATAAATATTTAAAATCAATATTAGAATATCTATTTAAATCGCTAATCAAATTAGAAGTACTATTAAAAATAGTTAAAATAGAACCTAATTGATCATAAATATATCAAGACCAAAGAAGGATAAATGAAACACAGTCAGAAAGAATTAAACATATTCCAGTAATTGAAGAAAATTTAGAACGAAAAGACAACGGAAGTAACTAAGTAATAAATAAATAAAATCTACAACATTCCGTAACAAATCTAGAAAAGAAAATACGACTATAGGAAGAGAATTAGAATTAGTAAATTTAATTAATATGGAACATCTAAAATATAATATTAGAAAATTACAAGGATATTTAACATAGAAAATTATACGACATCAGCATGATGTACAACAATTAAATATAACATCCTCAGATTATTTATATCGATATAGAATTCATAGGATATATTTGCTTCAACAAATTATTCAATTATTATAACATATGATGGTATTTGAAAATACTTATAATGATAATTGATTCTACATTTTCTATTCAAAAATTTGTTTGGTGTCAAAGTCTTCAAAAGAGAATTCCATCTAAACAGAATTCATAGGATATATTTGCTTTAGAGAATAATTCAATTATAAGAAAAAAAATTATATTTGAAAATACTTATACGGATAGTTGATTCTAAATTTTCTATTCAAAAATTAATTTGGTATCAAGTCTTCAAAAGAGGATACCAACTAAATAATAAAAATTGATGTTTTTCATAAGTTAAAATGATATGTCTGCCCCAATTCTCAAACTTAAGTGGTACCCAATGTATTTTACCCTAAATTAACAAACGTACCCTTCTACTAAATTTTAAACAAATAGACCGTTCTAAAATTAAAACGTAACGAATTTACCCTTCCATCCATTTATCTGTTATTCTAATTATTTTATGTCACAAATTATTAATTAAAAAAAATTAAAAACCTAAACTAATTCACGTTCATCTTCCCCAGAACCGCTGCGGGCAGGGGCGAACCTACGAGTTGCGTAGGGGTGTCGTACGACACCCCTTCGCCTGAAAATTTTGTGAATAAAGGTGGGTAATGGAGTCATTTCACAACTCATTTAACTGCCACTTAACATATGAATGAATGGAAGGGTAAATTCATTACGTTTTAATTTTAGAATGGTATATTTGTGCAAAAATTTAATAAATGGATACGTTTGTTAATTTATCGTAATAGAGGGGTACAAAATACTATTAATCCAAATTAAAATTCATTAATCTTGCGGCAGTTCGTTCTGATTTCACCATTAGTCCAGTAAGCGGCCCTAGATTCCCCATCTTGACCATCGACGCTACAAAATCCGTCGCGAATCTCGTCGGATGCCTGCTGTAAAGCCTGACCAGAGCATCGCTGCCAGTGTTGCTTACGCCGAAAAACTCCTAGTCGGAGTGTAGCAGATCTCTGTTCCCAAAAAATTGTTTACGGCTTTTCAAAATTGTTGCAGTGAGGTAGTTGCAATAAGTAGCTAGTGACGGTGTCCTCAATAAAGTACAACACTAAATTTAAAAACAAAACAATGGGAGCTGGGTATCAATCCCCGTACCTCTCGCTAGGGTTGGCTATACGGTCCGGTCCGGTTAAATTTGTCTGAATTGATCCGGTCCCGGTCCGGTCTTTTCAAGAATATAAAGACCAACGATTGGATTGGATACAGTCCAGTCCAATTTGGTCTTGATTTTAGATTGAGCTTGTGGGGATTTGAGTGGCCTGAGGCCTCAAAGAGTGAGGAGTTGGTTAAGTTTTGGGGATTGGGGTCTCTTATCCAGTCTTTATCCGGTTTTCGATCCGTTCTCAAACGGTTTTTTTTACCTCAAATCTAAGCCTAAATATGATATTGGATTGTTTGCTATCCGATCCCAGTCCGGTCCCATACGGTCCGGTTTCGAGTAAAACCAAACAATCTGGACCAAACAGCCAGCCCTACCTCTCCCATGCCAAGCGAGCGCTCTACCATCTGAGCTACATCCGCTTAGCATATCTTTCTATTTGAGCCATATCCTCTCTATCATGCTATCTTTTGATTAAGTAGTCATAACTAGAAGGAGATCTAGGTTCCATTTGCTCGTCATTCTTCTTTATCAAAACAAGATGAGTCGCTATCCACATTTCTCTTTCCCAAAAAATTGTTTACGGCTTCTCAAAATTGTTGCAATGAGGTAGTTGCATAAGCAGCTAGTGATGGTATCGTTGATAAAGTGCAAAACCAACTTTAAAAACCCACAAAAAATAATTTAATATGCAGGATATTGATCTATGTACCTCTCGCATGCTAAACAAGCCCTCTATCATCTGAGCTACATCCCCTCAATATAATTTCATTTTTATTCTCTGAGCTACATCCCTTCTATCATGCTATCTTTTTATTAAGTAGTCCCGCTTACAAGGAGATCAATGGCTCAATTGCTCCCCATTCTTACTTATCAAATCAAGATGAGTTGCCATCCATATTTCTCTTTCTAAAAAAATGTTTAGGGCTTTTCAACATTGTTGCAATGAGGAATCTTTTTTTATGTGTTGTTCCCTTCTTTCAACATAGTTGCAAAATGGCTTGCTCCATCGATAAAGTACAACACCAACTTTAAACCCCAAACAAAATAAAGATTGGAGATGCGGGGTATCGATCCCTGTACCTCTCGCATGCTAAGCGAGCGCTCTACCATCTAAGCTACATCCCCTTGATATATTGATAGGCTTATTATCTGAGCTACATTCCCACGCCCATGCAGTCTTTAAGTAGTTTTTTTTATAGGGTTAATTGCAAGTTTGGTCACTGAAATTATTAAAAACGTTCATGTTTGGTCACTAAAAATATTTAATTCCATTCGTGGTCACTAACTTTATATATTCGTTTCACCAATGGTCACTCTCCGTTAACATCATCCTAGGTGACAGTCAACTATCAAAGTTGACCGTTAAATGTGTGACGTGGAAATAAATACATTAATAAAAAATAAAATATTTTAAAATTTCCAAATCATTATCAAAATTATACAAAAATGAAAAATAAAAACTATTTTGTTAAATCTTCACCGGTCGCAACTGTTGCAACAACTAGGACCCCGCAGACGCGTCCCCTGGCATTTGAGAAGCTCAAGACTGGCTGGATGTTGATTGGCCGCGTCTCCCAAGTTTATTCCGGCAAGAGGGTAGCGGCTGTTGAAATAGTAAAGTTTAATTATAATAAACTAAAAAAAAATCAGAACACCCTAGAACTAGACTATGTGTGTGTAAGTGTAGAAATGGTTTGGGTTAGGTGTTAGCTGTGGTATAGAAAACTCAAAAAATGAGAACTAGAAGCTTATGGCGGTTCCCTATTGCCTAATAAATAAGGCCAGATTTTTTGTATTCTACAACCTATAAAAAGGCTTGATCACTTCGTGTATGACAGAAGCAAGAAGCAAAGCAAAAGGCAATAAAAGAAGCCTCCATTCTCAAAACTCCTCTACCAAATTTCTTGTCCCATTTAATAGAAAGCATTTCCCCATTCTAAATAAAAAAAGCTCTATACGAGCTGCCCGCCAAAGTTCCCATTTCCTTTAGTCCATATACGTGCCCACCATTAGCCAAAGGAAATAAATTAATTTTATTTCCAACAAAATGGTATCAGAGCGCAATTATTTATGAGTATGCTCTGTGGTTGCACCGTAGTCTGAACTTCCACATGAGAAAAGAATTTCTCGTGTGGTGGTTATCACCATTGCCCATAGCCAAAAATTCACTTTCCCCATTCAATTTCCCGACTTTACCAAAACCAATTACAAAAATTGGTGCATTCGTATGAGAGCCTTGATCGGATCCCAAGATGCTTGGAATATTGTTGAGAAATGTTACGAGATTCCTGCGGAGGATACTCGATTATCTACTGCTGAAAAGGAGGTATCGAGAAAGAATTGAAAGAGTGATAATAAAACACTCACTCTTATTCATCAATGTCTTGATGAAACCATGTTCGACCAAATAGCAGAAGCATGGGAGATTTCGCAAAAAGAAATGCAAGGCGTGGAATTAGTAAAGAAGGTTCGACTTCAGACACTCAGAGGAGATTTTGAAGCCATGAAAATGAAGGAGGGTGAATCTATTTCAGATTACACCGCTCGTGTGAAGTCAGTGGCCAGCAAAGTGAAGTAGTATGGGTAGAAGATTTAGAGACCAAGATGGTGGAGAAAATTCTACGATCGATATTACCAAAGTTTGACTATGTGGTGGTAGCCATGGAAGAATCCAAAGACTTATCAAAATTGACGGTGGATGAAGTCATCGGTTCACTGGAAGCACGAGAAGAAAGACTAAATAAAAGAAATGAAGAATCGTCAGAGCAAGTGTTAGCCAAGAAAGCTACCACTCAGGAGAAAGTAGGTGCCCGAGGAGGAGGTCAGTACAGAGGTCGAGGTAGAGGAAGAGGAATCGCCCGAGGAGCATATCAAAGTAGAGATGGAGGAAATGTCACCACGACCAATTATGAAATGTCCACCAGAGGCGAAGGTCGTGGTCATGGACGTGCAAGAGGAAATTGGAGATCGAATGAAGGTCGTGATAAATCCAACGTCCAGTGCTATAATTGCTCGAAGTACGGGCATTATGAATCGGAATGTTGGAGTCCGCCTAAAGAAGTGGAGGAGACGGCAAACAACGTTCAAGAAGAAGAAGTCAAAGACACATTGATGCTATCACATCAAGGAGATGAAAAACCGAGAGATAACATGGTATCTGGATAATGCAGCAAGCAACCACATGTGTGGAAAAAGAAACATGTTCGTGGATATGGATGAATCAGTGAAAGGAAATGTCATATTTGGAGACTCCTCGAAAGTTCCTATCAAAGGGAGAGTAACTATCCTTATCAGGCTCAAGAATGGCTCACAACAATTTATCAGTGATGTGTACTATGTCCCGGACATGACTGTTAAATGAGAAGAAGCCGTTGTTGGCCAGATTCCCAATATCGAGAAACAGAATGTTCAGCATTCAGACTGAAATGGCGAAGTGTTTGAATGCATGTGTGAAGGATAATACATGGCTATGGCATCTGAGGTATGGCCATCTGAATTTTGGAGGCCTGAAGTTGCTCGGTCAGAAGAAGATGGTGCAGGGTTTGCCTATGATCAATCATCCTAATCAATTGTGTGGAGGTTGCTTAGTTGGGAAGCAATTCAGGGCAAGTTTCCCAAAGGAGTCCCTATCACGAGCTAAAGCACCACTTGAGCTTGTCCATGCAGATCTATGTAGACCGATCACTCCAACATCGTTTGGCAAGAATAAATATTCCCTACTGTTCATTGATGACTACAGTAGAAAGACATGGGTTTACTTCTTGAAGCAGAAGTTAGACACATTTGAAGCTTTCAAGAAGTTCAAGATGCTGGTGAAGAATGAAAGTGGCCGCTACATCAAAGCAATGAGATCAGATAGAGGGGGAGAATTTATGCTGAAGAAGTTCAGAAGGTTCTGTGAATATCAAGGAATTCGCAGGTTTCTCTCATTTCCAAGATCCCCACAACAGAATGGAGTCGTTGAGAGGAAGAACAGAACTGTACTCAACATGGTGAGAAGCATGTTGAAGAGCAAGAACCTGCCAAAGGAGCTATGGGCAGAGGCTGTTGATTGTGCAGTCTACTTGCTGAACAGGTCACCAACAAAGAGTGTTTGGAATCAAACACCCCAAGAAGCATGGAGCAGAAGGAAACTCACAATCTCTCACCTCCGAGTCTTCGGAAGTGTCGGATATGTGCACGTACCAGATCAAGAAAGGAAGAAGTTGGATGAAAAAAAACAAGAAGTACATATTCCTGGGATACTCAGAAAACTCTAAAGGTTACAAAATGTTTGATCCCGTGGAAGAGAAGCTTAACATCAGCAGAGACGTGGTAGTTGATGAAGAAGCAAGATGAGACTGGACTGATGAAGCAAAGAAGAGTTATACTTTTTATCCATTCACTATGGATAAAAGTGATGATGAACCAGATATAAGTACACCTGTGCCAAGTCCACCCAGTCACAGAGAACCTGCCAGCCCAAAAGGCGAATCAAGTGAAAGTCCCCGAGAAAGGCCACATAAGTATGAAGACTTGAAGGAATTTATGAGGAAACGACAACCATTGAAGGTGATGAATTGACACTCTACTGTTATTTCATTGACAGTGAACCAGTTGATGTTGAAGAAGCCATGAAGGATGAAAAATGGAGAAAAGCTATGGATGAAGAAATTCAAGCTATCAAGAAGAATCAAACTTGGGAGCTTGTGTCACTTCCTAAGAACCAGAAGCCGATCGGTGTGAAGTGGGTATTTAAAGCGAAGAAGAATGCAAAAGGAGAAGTTGTCAGGAACAAAGCAAGATTGGTGGCTAAAGGATATAGTCAGAGACTAGGCATTGACTATAAAGAAGTTTTTGCTCCCGTAACGAGAA